AGATGTGGGAAAAATAAACAGCCTTGCTGCTTCAGAATGTATAAATGGTCCACAGAGAGCCAAGGGGCCTTCTCACCACTGTTCAACTTCAAGGCCATAAAATATGTGGCATGAGAAGCCCTCTCAGATGGATTCAAGGCTCTGCTAAACTTTTAATAGTGCGCAGACATTAAACTTTTCTCTGACCGTGGGATCAATCAACATAATTTAAAAATAGTTGATGTCACTTTCAGACAGGTGAAAATAATTTACATTCAAAGACTATCCCAATTTCTAGGATACTTTTACATTCTGCAGTGGGCATGCTCAGCCTCTGTAACAGAGTTTGAAGTGTTCTTTAAAGAGACTTCACAAGGAAATGACCACGGTCATTTTAAAATGAAGTGTACAGATCCCGGGAGACAATCCCTTTGAAGATGGGCTTGCATTCTGTTCCAAGGAGATCAGGACTGTTAGTTTGCCCTTAATGGAAGGTATGTGTATATGTTGCCTATAAACTTGTAGAACTGTTCAGAAGGGGGAGTTCTCTAGATCCTTTATGAACCGAGGATAAACTGTGCTTTCAGACCTGTTCAACAACATATTCTCTACTTGAACTCATGTGTAAAGCCCCAAACAAAAAGAAAAAAAAAACCTAGCGTGTCACAGTTCTGCAGCTTTCCTCATGTGGCTGGTCACAAAAATAGGCGAGGTATGTGCATGCCGGGAGAACTAACTCAGTATCACCTTCAAATAAACACACGAAGAAACGAACCAACCACCAACTAAATAAATAAAATTTCCTGTTAGATCCCATTTCTTCCAAATATAGTGTTTAGTCAAATTTAGGCTCTACTATAAATGGGTTTAGATGCTTCTACATTAAAATGGTGGACACTTTAAAATATCTAAAATAATGGCTTTATTTTCCAAGATTCCATATGTGTTCTTATTGTAACAAGTTTCAGAACTCAGTTTTCAAGGAAAAAGTCATATCGAATGACAAAACTAGTAGGAGAAATGTCATTTCAGACCCAACAATACCAAAACTGGGAGCGTTTAGGGCAATTTTGCTCTGAAAAGCACACACTTATACATCATTTCTCACTTCCGCCATTTCCATCCTTTAAGGCTGTAAGATGTTCACGCAAGTGTTCACGCAAAGACTAAGAGAGGTTTTCCACGCTCTGCTGTTGGTTCTCACCAACATAATCCAGGCATATGTGCATTTCATTTTATCAGCCTTGAAGTAAATAACAAAATATCCTAAAATTGACAACTTTAAAAAATTTTATAAACTTTCTCTTATTCTTGCACTTGTGTTATCATGGAACTTTGAACATAAGAATATGATTATGCTCGTGTGGCTTGAGTCCCCATAAAAGGCCATAAAACAGAAGTTAATACCTGCAGCATAATTCCCTAAACTCTAAGTGAACAACAGAATTTTACACCAGTCCACTGAATTTGTGTTGCAGTGTTATTTTTTTAACCCTCTTAGACACATACCAGCCAAGACATATCTTGCATTAAAAATTATTGCATGGAGAATTTATTGTAGATATACACAGGCATCTTTCTGTGAAGTGTTTTTAAAAAGCAGACTTCTCAAGCGCTCCAATTCGTTGCTACAGTTTATCTAAAGTCTGACTTTTTTTTCCCCCCTCTATAAATTTCCATCGAATTAACTAGTCATTTATTTACTTTAGATTTCATTTGAGCTTAAATAGGAGACCTGTTCATATAATGTCCATGAGGAACATTCTCAAGGCTTCATCTTCAGCACAGAGACCCGAGTGCTACTTACAACAGAGAGCACCCTAGGAATTCTGCCACTGACATGTTAGGGTTGGGAGTATAGTATCAAACTGTCAAAACCAGAAACAATGTGTGCTCATGGTATGTAGGCATGATTAAAACGTATTCCTTGCACAGTGATTCATAACCACATTCTGATCATGAGGGGTCATCTCATGTTGTTTTCTATAGAATACAAAGAAGAAAAAAGAGGCAAAAGATGGGAGGCAGTTAAAGAAGGAAGAAAAGAAGAGGGAGTGAGGTTTTTAATATTTGTGTCTTGACATCTGGTTGAAAATTTTGTATGTCATGCATTCTTAGTCGTGAAAAAAATATCTTTCTTTTGTTGCTATAATTCTTTGATTTAAAAATAATGACTTCCCCATTACACGCTGAAATTAAATTCAAAACAACAACAGGACCCTGTTTCTTACAGATTAAAAAGTCGATTTTTTAAAAAGGCATAGACCTTATCTTCTGTTTTCACATTGGTCTTCTTTCCCTAGATCAAGTTCCAATGCCATCAACATAAGAAGGAAAAACTTATCACTTTGGCATAGTCACAAAATGGCATTTGGAATGGTTTTCATTTTATCATTTTAAAATGAAAATAACTTAGAACCATAATTTCCACACAAATAAAAGTAAGGCTTTTATTTTGTTTTGTTCTTCACACAAGGAATGAAATTTATGTCACTATTCACTATATGAATGGCATTTACAGCATAAAACTATACACCTCTCCTTAGAGCTCCAGCTTAAAATTCGACATCTAAATTGTTGAAAATATATATGTTTACATAACACATTGTTAAAAATCAATTGATTACTTCCTATCTCTCACATTCAAAGTTCTTGTAGCTTCTTGATAAAGCAAGCAATTTTTGTGATGTTAATTATACTGACTGAAATAACAGTATATATCACAGGGCAGGCCATAGTATTCGATTATAGAACTCTCTGGATAGTTTTCAATTTTTATTTTTTAAAACAATATACTGCACAAAATCTGAAATAGTTTGTCTCACAATAGCTTCAATGTATTCTTTGGCAAAACTGCCTTGCCATTTAATGTATTTAAAAAAAATAAATATTTGAAAAGTGTATCCACAATGTTCCTAAGAAATGGTTTTGAATTCCAGAGTCCCAAGGAGATGAATTGGCTGTCAGATAACAATGTGCTTCCATCAGATGGACTTGGCAGTTGTAAACAAAAGGAATTTTCTCAGCTTTTCCTCACAAATATGAAATATTTGCTCTCAGCCAACAGCTGGGGTGATTTAAAGTAGTCCTGCATATATATTAGTTTTCATTCAAAATTACAAATCCTCCTCCCACTCTGAAACATCTGACTTAGTACAACAGAAAATTGTTCTGAGATGAAGTGCCATTCCCAGGGGAATTAAAGTCAAAAAATAGGACCTACTTACAACTCGAATCAACTTTCAGATCACACAGCGTCTGGTTAATAATTTTTTAAGAAAAGTTAATTTATTCAAGATGAAAGTTCAGAGGATATCCTGAAGTGGCTTTAAAAATAATGAGAAAGTTTGTGTGGTGCTAGTCTTCCTGAAAATATTTAAAACTATAATAATACAACCGAGAGAGAGACCATGTGAAAAGTCATCAAGATTCCTTCAATGATTTGGAAATGGTTTAAGTAGCAAAATATAGATATTGCCATATGATAGCTAAAAGTCACTCTTGAAAAAACTGTCAATGTTTAAATGGTGATGTAAATTATCTATTCATCTTACCAAACATTTAAATTATATTAATATTTTTTAAATGGATGAATTAAAATATCTTTGCAAAGTACTCATTAGAAATTAGCTATTCATATAAGACTATGAAGGCAATCTAAGAATATATAGTTTTAGAGTAATTTTATATATTTACAGATAGTTTAGGAACTCACAAACTTTGTTATAAATGCAACCAAATATTTACCTTGCTTTTATTTTCTGAAAAAAAAACTACCTAAAGTAGTGGTTTTAAATTTATTTTGAATACCACAGTTATATACCCTATATTGTAATATTTTATTTATTATGAATAAATCTTTATAGTAATAAAAAATAGACATTGTTGTGTTTTAATTGAACTGATAAAAAATATAGTCCATATATGTATAAATATCTTAGACAGTAGCAAGCCGTTTTTCTACTTGTGAACAAGCAAACCAAATTAATTTCTGCACTTGGGCCCAGGGAATCTGAATGTGTGTTCCAACTAAATTAACATTTTATATCATTATTGTAAAGAAAAAAATTATTTTTACTTAAAGTCACTATTAGGGCAGGCATTAAAACATATTGAAATAATTGTTGCTACTTTTAATAGACCTACTACTTGCCCTTAAAATGCAAACACACCAGACTTGAAGTATCACGGTACATAAGACATGGAATTCAAACTTCAAATTACAAGTCTGTAACTTATCCTAATAATTTCAGACAGTGGTTTTGTGTTTTGTAGAAATACACTGTAAACGTTTTTTAAAACCAGTCAAATAATATGTATAAATCCATGAGACTGCACGTTGGAAATCATATATCTTATAGTCTGAAGTCTACAATTTAATCTTCTTGGAAAAAAAGAACAAACATTGTATGACCACACTTTGATAACACAGTTGTTACTTTAAAACAATCTCTGACTGATTTTTCTAGCTGGAATATTTAAAAGGCTAATACAGAATAATGAAATAAAACTGTGAAAGTTACTAACAATGTGCACACAAATGTTAAAAATTAAAAAGCAAAATCTCCATCATTAGGAATTTTAAAATTTCCTCAAATGTCACTAACAACACACAAAACAGCGGCCAGCAACATGGAAATTAAAACTACCATTAGCAAAACTTTTGTTTTCCACTATGCAACATTAATGCAAGTAAAACAATCACCTTTCTTCCTACATAAGCACACAAAACAAACCAGATAAATAATAAGAAAAACATGAACGTTTTCAGTACCAATGCAATATCAAAAAATTCAATGTCTGAGGAAAGCAAATCTGTATTTTTATTCTTTATTTTTGTACTTTTTATGCAGAAACTCTACTCATTGTAAGCAAGTCTGAAAAGACTACTTATTCATCCCCCTTTTCCTTCCAAAAAACCTTTCAAAAACTAAGACATGAAATCAAAAACAATCCTTGGAATTTGAGTATTTTTAAAAGTACAGTTGTGTTGTCATAAGTTTGGAATTGAAAATACTTACAGTCTCTCTAGTTCTTTAAGATCCTGGAATGCTCCTCTTTCAATGGTGCTAATCTTATTCTCCATTAGCTGACTGAAATACAAAATACGGCATGCTTCTTAACATGACCACTTGCCATCTAAATCAATTTCTATTCACCAACCGAAAACTTGTAACATCTTACCCTTTATAAACTTAAATTTTGCTCTGATTTGAGACTAATATTAAAATTATGATGATATATTTGAAAGAACTCAGGAAAGGGAGATATCAGTGTCCATATCACAAAACTTTCATAGAAAACATTAATATACTTTTAAGATTTACTAGTCAAAACTCTGACCCTTCAACTGTAGCATATCTGAGAAGTAACCCCAGACATTACAGATTTTATAGATTTTTTTTTTGAAAACTGATTTTCAACTTTAAAGAATCAATATACAGTAATTCACCATACACATACTTCAATTCTCATATAGATACATAACAACCATTGGAAGATTCACAATGGTCAAAATGTGTGTCTTAAAAGATGAATACGAAACACGCAGTTGTCAAAATTATGTGGCTATTGAGATGTCAATATTTACAATCCTGTGGGTATAAACAATTTTACATCACATTGACTCTCCAGTATTGTTTTACTCACAGCTAATTTACTCCATTAATTAAAGATATAATCATACTGCAGCAATCTTATAAAAGCCATGAAGACATAAAATATAGAAAACTTAACTCAAAACATGACACATGTATTTTTACAGAAAAAAGTTTTTTTCTACCAAAACCTCTGCTAAAAAGCTTGACTGCTTGATTTAAATATTTGGAAGTATATCTAATTGCTCTTTGGTTAAAAATAGTCTGAACAATTTTTATCTCAGTAATCATAAAATGCACATCCACTTACATATTTTTAGCTATTCTCAAATCCTAAATGTATCAAATGTCTCACATTACTTATTCATATTGTAAAAGCAATTATTCTATATTTTTATATGCGTAAGGCACTTAGGGTATGGTTTAACAAAGATTTGAAGCCATTTTTAGAATGTGGTTTCTATGGCATGCAGCCAATCTTAAAAGCCCAAATCTTTATTAAATGTTATAGTACAATAATAAACACAAAAGAAAGGAAACTGTGACCTTTTAAATGTTTTAGGTTTCTTTTATCAGGAAAGTTATAAAAACTGAGACCAGTAATGATTCAGAACATGCAACCTTAAAACCAAAACCAAAACAATTTCCAAAAAACACAAGAAGGACACACTTACAGAACTCGTAGGTGTCTCAGGCCAGCAAAATCAGTCTTTGTTAACCTTGTGATGTTATTTCCATTCAAATCCCTTAGAGAAAACCAGAAAATCAAAGTTACTATTTTGTATCTATCCACATCTGGTTAAAAGAAGTAAAATTCAAAGCAAGTTAGAAGTTTAAGACTAAAAACACTAATTCAATCACATCTTTACAAAGTCAATGGAAGGGGACAGGAGGGCGATTGTTAAAAGAACATTTTCAAAACGACTCAATGCTTTTATTAAGTTCACTTTAGCTGGCCTGGGACAAGAAAATGAAGCAGTTATCACAAAACGTTCTGTGTGTGTGTGTGTGTGTGTGTGTGTGTTTGTATGGGAGAGCCCTCCATTTTTGTGTAAGTAAAGGCGGGCATATCAATTTCATAGGTATTCTGCTATTTGACTATTTTTGATAGGCACACCCTCAAAAAGTTGCCTTCAGGAACATAACTGTACATTTTTTATACTATTCATGAAGAAATTTCCAAAATTCAGAACACTGTCCTTAGATAGCAAGGAGGCTAAACTTCCTTAGAGCAAAGAAACTGTCATCAATAGAAATGCACTTCAAAGACTAGCATTTATAGACATTGACCTCCCCCCAATTCTACTCTGGTGTAAAAACTGAACTCTTCCTTTGCAGGGAACCCCGCTGTGACAGTAAAGTGAAAACTACCAGTGGGTGCAAGAATGTAAATAGTATTCCAGTCCTGACACTTTTGTCCAGATTTCAGCACCACTTTCCCTTCGTGACTCACAATCCCCTTTACTGGCATTTCGGGTCAAAGATCCGAAATTTGCCCTGTTTCAAATCATTTCAAGTATAATCAGGTTTTGTCGTGATCTGCAGGTTCTTTATGGGAGTAACTTCTCTCTCACCTCGGACTTCAAATCTGCTCCCTAGAAATCCGCACTTAAAGGGTTTACTTTGTCAAAGATAGAACTCTGTGAGTCAGAACCGAGTAAACTCTTCTCTGAAAACTCTTTGTTGATCTTTCATAGCAATTTTTTCCCCAAAGACCTGAAATCGAGGGCTACTCCCCCGCCCCCCGCAGTGCATTCCCTTTTTGTTAAGACGTGTTAGTAGTTAAACTGCTGAGAATGGCATGAAATGACAAAAGCTAGAACAGAATTCTCCGCTGCTCCTCTTTCTTTCTGCCAAACCCACTTCTCCAAACGAAGCAAAGTACCATCAAGTTGTTGGTAAAACTGTTGAAGTCTTTCGCCAGCTATTTGACGTAGCAAGAATCCCCATCCCCCACCCTAGACAAGACACGCCTGGTAGAGACCCAGGTGCCCAGCGCTGAGCTTGGGAAGGAGGGAGGGAAAGGGGACCCAGGGAGGCTGGAGGTAGGGGAGCCTTCTGCAACGGGAAGAAAGGGCTCAACGTGGGCCTTTATATTAAAGGCGAGAGAAATGGGTTGGAGAAGGAGAAGGCTGCTCCAGGCGCAGGGGGCAGCGTGGGTGGGGGAGAGCACGTCAGAGAGCATCTCTTCCGCGGCCAACAACCCTCACACCTGTGGGGGCAAAGAGGCCCAGGAGCCAAGTCCAGACGCGCCGGCCGGAGCTGGACTCGCCCCCCGCCCGCAGCTCCTGCCCAGCCCACGCGCAACCGCGAGAGCAGAGCGCGCCCAGGGCGTTCAGGCAGGCGCGGGGCCGCAGCCTCGGCATTGACAAAGAGAATGGCTTCCATGCTCCACTGCCCTGAACTCGGGAAGCGCCCCACCAGGAGCGCGTGGGCCGTCAACACTGGGTCTGCGTTTACTTCTTCATTAGGGACTCACAGAGACAGGGAGGCGGGGATGTCTGCGGGCAGCAGAGCGCGAAGAGGAGGCAGGGCAGTCGCTGCCACATGAAGGGGCGCAGAAACAGCCGGAAAGGTGGATGGTGGTGGGGGGGGCACAGCGGCTGGGCAGAAAGGGCCAGAGAGGGCAGCCGACGGCCGCGGGGTTGCCTAAACAAGCAGTCCCGGTTAAGCTAGTTCGGATTGAAGAACCCGCACTAACTTCGCTTAGACGATGGGAAGCGGTCCTCCGCCGCAGTCGCCGCCTCTGGCAAGTCCCTTGAGGCCTGACGCCGCCACCTCCTCCCTGAGAAGTGGGGGGAGGGGAAAGAGTCGCGGGATCTGTGCACTGCTACTGTGTGAGCTGTGGTGGTCCCAGGGGCTCCCCTCTTCTCTGCAGTCTGTAGGAAGCACCCTTAGGGCCCCCAAGACCTTTCTCCCTTCTGTTTGTCCCCAGGAGGGCGACACAAAGCCAGCGAGCGGAAGTTTCTCTCTGTTAAGTCCCCCTGCCATCTCCTCCTCTCCAGCCCGCTACAAGAGCGGGACTTTGCCTGGAAACCGACCTGCCAAGTGTTGGCAACCGCAAGGTGACTCGGTTTAAGGAGTCGGTCGAACGAAGTCGCATCTCACTTGCCCAGGTATCTCCAAGTACTTGTCTCCCTACGGAGCCAGAGAACTCGCCCGCAACGGGGCTTCGAGTGGCGGGACCAGAGCGGGGTGGGGGGAGGAATGCACCAAGAGAAGCTGCCGGCTGACCCGCCCCTCTTTGGACAGTGGCCGTTCCCCGTACACTGCCCTCTCGGAGAGCCCATCTCGGGATCCGCGTACAAGAGAGCTACAGAGAACCGTCCCAGGCACAGAACCCAGAGCCTCGACCCGGGTGTCGGGGCAGGGGTGAGAGGCCCAGATAGGGAGGAGGAGGGCGAAGAGCGCATACTCACAGTCTCTCCGTGTTGCGGGGGATATTCCTGGGCACGCTGCGCAGCGCCAGCCCGTGACAGTCCACTGTGCTGCCGGAGCAGGAACACTGCGCGGGGCACGCCTGCGGCGCCACCTCGGTCAGGACAGTCAGCACTAACCCCAGCGACAGGGACAGCGTCTGCCAGCCAGCGCCGCGCATCTTCCCCCGCCGCCTCCTCCCTTGCTGGCGCCGGGGGGGTTTTCTTTAGCTGGTTGCTCCCAGGAAACCGCGCAGTGTCTGAGGCCCCGTACCCGGCGCGGGGCTAACAGCCCAGAGTGCCAGGGGAAAATGTGCACAAAATAATATGAAACTGATAATATTCAAGGCTCTGGAGCCCTCTCAGGCACAGGTCTCCCACCTCCTTCTCCGCCCCTTCCCCCCTCGAGCAGGTTAGGGAGCTCCTTGGGCAACTTTAGGTCCTGAAGATCAATCGGCCTGGCCCAGGCTGCTAGAAGATTGGAGAGCAGCGGGGAGGAGATACGGCGTCCTCTGTCTCACAAGGATCAACTTGGCGGTAAAAGAGCTGGGGTTCCCAACGATCGCAAATATGCCAGGGACAGAGGGGGTGGTTTCTGATCACAAGCACCCCTCTGCAAATCCGATTCTAGAGAGGAGAGTACGAGGCAGAAGAGGGGAGCTCAATAGGGATGGTGGCTCCTAAGTGGACTCTCCGAAGCTAGAAGGCGCAGGAGCGCCGCGGGCGCAGAGCGGAGCGCGCCAGGCGACTGGGCATGGCGCGCGGGGGGCGCACAGGGCATACGCGCAGCCCGGGGGCGCGGGGCGGCGCTGCGGATCGGCGGGCTCCTCTCACTCTCGAGGCCTCTCCCCCGCCCGCGGCTCTGTCGCAGCCCCGACAGGTCGTCCAAATCTCCCGACAGCAGAGAATGGTTTGCAAACACACATGCACGTCGCTGAAAGATGGGTAGGCAATCCCGCCTCCTGGCAGGCGTCCTTGGCGACGCTCTGCAGCTGGGCCTGCCCCGAGGTCACGCAAAAAAGACAAAAGGGCAGTCGGACCGCTGAAGCCAGGCAGAAATATCCACTAGTGAGCACCGCAGCAGAGGAAATCCAAGAGGCCAAGTTGAGGACTAAAGCTCCTGAGAAGACTGGGTGGGACTGGCTGGGGCAGGCCGGCCGGAAGGAGTGGGAAGCAGAGGCCAAGGCCAAGGAGGGGCACCCAGGTCCTGCGGGGTGTCCTGGAGAATGGCTAGGTGGCAGGCAGGCGGGTGGGATCCGTTACTCCGGGCACAGCCCAAGTGCGGCTGAAAGGCAATCGTGTGTGCTCGTATCAGCTCCTCTAGTCTCCCAGATACGCCGCAGCTCCGCAGCAGACACCTGATGGGTAAAGGTAGAGGAAACAGCAGCCTGCTCCTGGCGGGCGCCGCTCCCAGCCGCCCCTCAGGAGCCTCCCACAAGTGGATCCTCCTTCTCAAAGTGCAGGAACTTTTCCCAGGCTTTGAATCTCGTCCCCCGACCTCCACGGTGGGAGTCCCACGTCGCGACACCGCCCGGTTCCTGGTGTTGCACCTGACTCGGCGGCCGCAGTCCCGGGCAGCCGGTACCTTCCAGCCTCTCCCCCTCTCCCGGCTCCTTTCCGTGCCGCCTGCTCGCTCCGGGAGGGAAATGAAACCGAGGGAAGACGGAGACACAGAATAGGCACTCGCTGTCGACTCCGGAGTCCCTGGCAAGTGTCTAAACAATAGGACGGACGCCGCAGTCTAAGTCTCCTTTGGCTGAAGGGAAGGTGGGTTGTTGTTGTAACTGCAGTTGTTCTCTCCGGCTGCCCGGCGCTGAGCGCCGCCAAACAAAAACCCGGCCCGCGCCTCTGGAGCCGGCCGCGGGCCCTGGGACGCTCCCCTTTCTCCTCAGCACTCCCGCGGTGTCGGCAAAGCGCGGCAGCTCCGGCCTGCGCCCGGGAGCCGTGGCGCTCCCATCACTCGCTGCCGCTGCTGCGGTGGCCGCCGCTGTCTCCGCCTTTTTTTTTTTTTTTCAAACCAGTCTGCGGCAGCCACCGCCGCCGCCGCCGCCACAGACACTACCGCCAACCTCCGCCGTCCGGGCGCTTCCTAGATAAATAACCCCAAGTCCGAAGTTGAGCAAGCTCGGGCCTTATATAGCCACCGGAGTCCCCGCCCTTTAGCCCCGCCCCGCGAGGCCGGCCCCGCCCCCTGGCTGCGCGCTGGGAGCCTGCACCTCGCCGGGTAGAGGTGAGGCCCGGGCTGCCCTCGCCTGGCGGCGGCGACGCCGAGCGGCCCGAGTTCCAGTGCGCCCGGGCTAGCGCCCTTGCTCCCACGCGGGGCAAAGTTTGCCCGCGGAAAGGGGCTGTCGGGACCCCTCCTCCAACTCTTTGGCTCCTGAAGTGACCGGGGCTCAGAGATGGTCGCTTGCAGCGGCAGAATGGGGGAGAGGACGGCTTTGAACGCGGTTCATAAATAAACAGCTCTCCAGGGCCTCTGCTGCAGCTTTTGCGATCCTAAGGGGCTGCTCAGTGTTTGCAACGCAGCAAGAGAGAGACGGAGACGGAAAAATGATGATTTAAATTAAAAAGAAAAAAAATTCTACCGAAATAGATCTGCCTGCGCTCAGAGACACACACATGTGTATTTTTGGGTGCTGAAAAGTTCAGAGTTTTTGCAAGTTGGAAAACAGCATTTTTCAGGCTTCTTGCTTGCCTTCCCATCTCTGATCCACCCCCGTTCTGTTTAACCCCTTCTTTATAGTCACACATTCAACAACTCTCTGCCCGGTTGAGGATTGAATATTCAATGTGCTTACATAACTCTAAAAGCACGACTATGTCTGTGCGATTTTACTCTCTTATGGGGGAAAGGAGGGAAAAAATAAATCCCTAGCAACGCACATTATACCAGAACGTTTCCTTTATCTCAGGGCAGTTCTGGGTATTTTTTCCCCACTATGTTTTGAAAGAGAATTTCCATGTTTCTTCTTTTCTCTTTCCTGTGATGTGTGTCTGGCAACAGCTACCACTCTCCTGCTCCCCCAGCAAAATCAATGTCACTACAGGTTTGAAATGACATCTCAATGAGAAGACACCTCCCCTTGGATTTAAAATGCCTCTCCTCCTACTTCCTCCTCCCATTCCACCTTTAAAAAGCTTCCCAGGGATTCTGTGCAAGGCCCTAGCCTAATGGAGCCTTCCTTACAGTGTGGTAATTATTTGCAGCTTCCTTGAAAGCAAGAGGACTTGCCCTGTTCATTTTTGTGTTTCCAGCATCTAACAATGTCCCTGGTACATAGGATTTCTTTTAACTCAAGAACATTCTCTCCAACATCATGATTAATATGTTTTCCTAATTACATTATTTTCAAATGTCCTGTCATAATGGCTACATCTGACTCATTTTGCCTGCCTTGGAAAACTTGAAGCATTTTTAGGACATTTCCAAAGACAAAGTGCTGTCAGAAAACTAAGTTGGAATTCATAGAATTACTTTTTTTTTTTTTTACAGACACCTTTTTTAAATTAAGTCATATATACATTGATCATGAATACATTTATGCCTTTGTGGGATTCAATGTGTGGATTATTTGTACAAATTGGAGTGCTTACATTCTACTAATTAACACAGCTTTCACCTCATTTACTTAATCACAGTGTTAAGACATTTGTGTTCTATGCTTGATAGATTTGACTTGTACCCTTGCAATATGCTCCATAGGTGTGGTCCCACCATTATGTATATCCAAAAGACCAAAAATTACTTGGCAATGAAGATATTTGCACCAGATTGTTCATTACAGCTCAACTCATAATTGCCAAGTCATGGAAGAATTACTCATTTTAATGCCATAGATTTAGGTTGCTCTGTTCTTTTAACACTTCAAACTATTTGGCATTTATTAACTCACTTGTCCTTCTAGAATTTTGCTTAAAGATCTATTATGTAAGGAAGGAAAAGAAAGGAGAATCCACCTCACATTTTTTGTAAGGAAAATGAGATAAAGAACAAACACCCATCATGGAAGAAGGAATCCTTCCCCTACTATTTCTGTAGTCTGCACTAGTAATGAAGTGATTAAAATAGATTTATTGCTACACTAATTCATTCAATCCATAACTTTAATACCTTGTCAGCAACAAGATGTATTTGTGTTCCCCTTCTTACACCACATGGATTCATTGGTTATAAGTAATATTGATATTGTTGAATAAGTGGAATTCATAGACTTGAGTTCAACTTTGATGCTCTCTGGCTTACTTTCCATTCCGTGTGAAGCCAACAAGAAGCTAAAATAACATGCATAACAGCGTGCCTACATAATTCTTTTTAATTTGATGTAAATTTAAATAAGATCTGGCCGATGAATTTCATTAAGAAAAAAAGGAATATTATAACTAATTTCCGAGATGCATAGCACGTTTTTTGTCATCAACTTTTCAGTTAATAAAGGGAAATTTACACGTAAACAATCACATTTCTTGTTCTAAAAAATATTATTATACTGGGCAGCACCTGTGGCTCAAAGGAGTAGGGTGCCAGCCCCATATACCAGAGATGGTGGGTTCTAACTCATCCTAGCCAAAAACTGCAAAAAAAAGTTAAATGAAAAATATTATTATATTCATTCAGTATTACTGTAAGATGTTTGTTGGAGGCGTTGCATGCTTCAGTAACATTATATTTTAAGTCTGATTTTTTTCTGGATTTTTTTTTTCCAAATGAGTCAAACTCAAGAAAGCTTCTGTGGTGCCTCTTGTCACCACATGAGGTCTCCATAAATCCTGACCTGGATTAAGCAGCAGTTGAATCCAATATAGGCAGCATTCAACTCTCCTATTATCTTCAAGAAATCCAGTTGTTAGAATAATTTAGAAACAATTTAGACACTTAAAAACCCACTCAGATTAAAAAAAATTCTCCCAATTTGCATTTTTAGACCAATAAAGGTTATGAAGTTAGGTTATATGGGAAAAGGGAGTAATAAAGAGAATTGATGATGGGCGGCACCTGTGGCTCAAAGGAGTAGGGCGCCGGCCCCATATGCTGGAGGTGGTGAGTTAAAACCCATCCCTGGCCAAAAACTGCAAAAAAAAAGAATTGATTAAAAAGCTGTAAATATAAATCAAAAATATATTCTCATTTAACAACAATAACATTGATCAAATTCCTAAAACTTACAGAATAATTCAGTGGACTTAATAGCATCCAAGCTATCATCTATCTTTTCTTATTGCAAAATGCGTTCATTTTAATTATCTAAGTTTTCTACCCAAATCTTTGTTTTAGAAATGTAGACAAATATTTAGATCACAAATATTAGTATCACAAATATTTAGATTTAATGAAAATTTGTTTCATGTCT